GTCGTTATTGCAATATCCGGGCAGTCACGACAATATACATATTTTAACATGTAATCAATAATGAGCAATCTTTAATAATAATTGTAACAATTTTATCTTAGAAAAATATACGCCCCTGAGCGTAAGACAATGAAGGCTAAACATATACAGAATTATTATCATGAAACATCTATGTTTTTCGAACAACGTAATCATGACAAAAACAAGTTAGATGTGAAACAAAGGAGTCATTATTGTAATGTCTGGCAGTCACGACAATATATATATTTTAACGTGAAATAAATAATGAGCAATCGTTAATAATAATTATAACAATTTTACCTTAGAAAAATATATGCCCTTGAGCATAAAGCAATGGAAGCTAAACATACAAAGAATTATTATCATGAAACATCTATAACCATCACAATCATAAGATTACATAGAACAATTAACAACAAAGTACGTAAAGGATATTACCTGCTAATTAATACCGATTAAACACTTAATTTTTTCACTACTTCTATATTTTTCACACTACACTGATAGTCTTACTTTTCACTCCGCGCTGTTCTCACTTCAACTGCCTATCTTCGACTCTTTTGGCTTCCTTCCAGAATGCCCCACCTAGGCGTTTGCATTTTGTGCTTCCTTATACCAACCGTTAATATTACTTTTTCATTATTATACAACACTCATGTAATAGGTGACGTCGAAGTTGATACGATTAGTACAGTTTTGCACAACATGCACTACCATGTGATCATTCAGGTAGTAGAGGTATATCGTTTAAACCAATACAATACAAATAACTAAAAGTTGTTAATTTACATTCAGAACATGAAAATATATCTTTGATATAAATAATTAAAGATTCAAAAACTATGATTTTTGGAGTCAAAGGAACGAAACTATTTTTAAGCGTTGATTGTGTTGTTAAAAATTGTTACTTTAAAATGCTGATTTTTTTCTACAATCATTGAACCTTTCTAACAACAACTTTTTTTCAACTCTATATAGTCAATTTGCAAGGAAGATGTCGTGTTAGCATTATTTACAAATTATTGCAATTATTTATTGACGATTGTAGAAAAAAAATCAGCATATTAATACAATTATTATATACAGGCTGTTACAAATTCGCTTCTCACTACAGGGATCTCGGAAACGGTAAGAGCTACGAAGTAGCTCAAATAGGGGCAAAGTTGCGTAATCAGGGGATCAACATTATGCTTTAGAAAATCAAGGCTAAAATGATTAGTTTTCGAAATATATGAAAAAAATCGAAATTTTGGAAATCCGTTTTGGTTTCATTTCAGCCTCGTTTGAGGTGATATTGAAAAAATAACAACACTTTCTCATGGCCACTTTTTGCCCTCTATCGAATGGTATAATCAATTTTTGTATGTAATGTTTCATCTCTCCAAGACCATCATCAGCTTCATTTTTTTAAATACGACTAGAAATTTTATTACATTCTTTGCAAGCCTTTATGAACCCCAATACAGTACTGCCTCAGCCCGAACCAGATTCAGACGTTTTGTCTCGAAAAATTCATCTTTAGTGTATTCGTTCCAAATTTATCTAGATTTTTTATTTATTGAATTATCGTACACTGTAAGTATCGTTATACCCTGTGAAATCCATCTAGTTACTTAAACTATTACCACCACGCGTTACAATAAAACATTTATTATTATTAACTATTACCATCACTTGGTCATACATAACTCAATAAGTTGTTGCGCTAAAATTAAAACATTATTACAAATTTAATTTTATTATGACAAATTAATTCTTAAAAATGCATATGAACAACTAAGACGCCAACTGAATATTCTTCTTTACAAAATTTCAGTAAATGTTCAGACATTATCGTTTTGGCAAAGGTTAAAAATGAAAATCAGGGTAATATTTTCGGAATTTATTATATCTGTAACTGTAACAGTGAAAGAGCATATCAGATGTATTTGTATGAATATCCTGAAAAAAATAGATCGGAATTTGTTTGAATTTTGAGCACTCGAGAAGCTTAGAAACAACTAACACGGGAATAAAACTCTAATAATGTTTTATTTTAATGCGTGGTGGTAATAGCTTAAATAAATAGATGAATTTCACAGGGTCTAATGACACTTACAGTGTACGATAATTCAATAAACAAAGAAATCTAAATAAAAAATTTAGATAAATTTGGAACGAATACATTGAAGATTAATTTTTCGAGAAAAAACGTCTGAACCTGGTTCGGGCTGAGGCAGTACAGTATTGGGGGTAATGAAGGCTTGCAAAAAATGTAATAAGATTTCCAGGGTCGTATTTAAAAAAATGAAGTTGATGATGGTCGTGGAGAGACGAAACGTACAAATAAAAATTGATAGTGCCATTCGATAGAAAGCAAAAAGTGGCCATGAGAAAGTGTTCTTCTTTTTTCAATATCACCTCAAATAAGGCTGAAATTAAACAAAAACGGATTTCCAAAATTTCGGATTTTTTCAAATATTTCGAAAACTAATCATGTTAGCCTTTGCCCCCATTTAAGCTACTTCGTACCTCTTACCGTTTCCGAGATCCCTGTAGTGAGAAGCGAATTTGTAACAGCCTGTATATACAGGGTGTTTTTGAATGGAGTGGCATAAATGATACCAGTGAATCTACATTTCAAAAGAACACGATCTGCAAAAAATCGCCTTAGTAAAATGTTCACCCCTGAAGAGATATGGGCCATCAAAGTTTCCAAAAATATTATGAAAATTGGCTGTAATTTGAAAACCGAACGAGGTACAAATAACAAATTTTTTCAAGNAAAAATGGCTTGAGGGGTGGTTATTTCAACCCCTTTCGAGGGGTTAAAATTTTCGAAAAATAGTTGAAAACTCGCATCTGTATTAGTAAACAACCTGTAAAAAATTTGTTATTTGTACCTCGTTCGGTTTTCAAATTACAGCCAATTTTCATAATGTTTTTGGAAACTTTGATGGCCCATATCTCTTCAGGGGTGAACATTTTACTAAGGCGATTTTTTGCAGATCGTGTTCTTTTGAAATGTAGATTCACTGGTATCATTTATGCTACTCCATTCAAAAACACCCTGTATACAGGGTGTTTTCACTTTAAATTTGGAAAATGGAGGAATGTATTCCCTATCTAAAATTAACTGTAGTTTGCTCTATAAAAATATTTTATGAAAGCCTTTGTTTTGGAGATACAGGACGTTGAAGCTTAAAAAAAAATAAACACTTTTTGACATATCTCGGCTATCCACGAGTAGATTTGATTTAAACTTGGTACACATTATGCGTATTGGGGGTTCTCATAACTGACAGAATATTAGTCCTATCGCATTAGCCAGTGGCGTGCAAAGGGGGGATGTGTGGCACCTTTTTAAAAAAAAAGTACGCCATTGAGTTTTTCGAAGAATGTAAAGTAAATTTAAATACTACCATACAAAAGCAATCTAAAAGGTTCCTTGGTATTTTTCGATAATACGCAGCGTTCATGAGATTCTTGGACTATTAAGATTTCAATGCATGAAAAAAAATTACGACATTGAGTAGAGGAAAGTAATGAAAATATTTACAATTTCTTGGCTTGCTGCGAAACAAAAAAGTTGCCATAAATTTTAATGCAGCATTTGAATTCAAAGAAAAATATCTCTTTCTCATTCAGCACTACAGTGCCATGTTATCATGCATTGGAATCTTAATAGTCCAAGAATCTCATGAACGCTGCGTATTATCGAAAAATACCAAGAGACCTTTTAGATTGCTTTTGTATGGTAGTATTTAAATTTACTTTACATTCTTCGAAAAACTCAATGGCGTACTTTTTTTTGGAAAAAGGGGCCACGCATCCCCCCTTTGCACGCCACTGGCTAATGCGATAGAACTAATATTCTGTCAATTATGAGAACCCCCAATACGCATAATGTGTACCAAGTTTAAATCAAATCTACTCGTGGATAGCCGAGATATGTCAAAAAGTGTTTATTTTTTTTAAGCTTCAACGCCCTGTATCTCCAAAACAAAGGCTTTCATAAAAAAATTTTATAGAGCAAACTACACTTAATTTTTGATAGGGAATACATTCCTGCATTTTCCAAATTTAAAGTGAAAACACCCTGTATACAACACAGATAAGGCTTAAAAATAGTAGTTTCGTTTGTTTACCCCAAAAATTATAGTTTTTCAATCTTTAATTGTTTATATTAAAGACGATAATTTTTTTTATTATTTTCATATTCTGAATGTAAATATAACAACTCTTTAGTTATCTGCTTATATCTGCTTTATTATTGTCATTGTCATTATTGTAATAAGTTTAATGAATACAGTCATGAGTGCTCTGCACCCACTATTTAGTTCTCGTGGGTGCTGGAGCACCCAAGCACCCACGAGTTGGCGCCCCTGATATTTAAATCAAAATATATTAATGTGTTCTTAAATACTACTAAAAGATATAGCAAAAAAAATATGTTTGTCGTCAACCTTGGGCGGCCATTCTACTTCACAAAACATAAAATATTCCTACTGGGATACCAAATGTTCCATGATGTTAGGTTCACATTTTGGAAATGTAAATCAAACTTAATTCTAAGAAAACAAAAAAAAACGCAAATGTGGTAGTTTGATCTTGTTCCGAGGTGCCGTAAATAAGAAGAACTCATCAGTCAAATTTTATCTGAAAATAGCAAACCTGAATTATAATATAAATTTACTATTGTCAAAGTAACAAATGGAACATTTTATTTTGGAAATATTTCATCCCTCTTTTTTGGAAAATAATGTAAGTATAATGTTCTAGTTGTGATGTAAAATTTTCTTTGACTTAATTGCAGTGATGTACCAAAAATTACTCAAAACTGCACATAAAAATTTAATAACAATTAACAAATTTATAACAAATGAAATAACCTTTTCATAACCTACTGATGATATTAATCGTGTCGTGATAATTCTAATATTCGCTACTAGGTGGCGCATGTTGCCGAGAATACTGGAATTGCCAATTAACAATGATCATTAAATATTATGTATTATATTAAAAATTTGATACGTGTACATCAAGAAATTAAAAGGTATTTTACTCTCGAACTGTGTCCTAGAATATGCACAGTTAATTATTATTTATTAAAATTATTTTATATACATAGGTACCTACTTATTATACTTAGAGAGAATTGGTGAAGATATTAATTAGTTTCGATTAGTATTTAAAGAGGACAGCAACTATATTATAGGGATGGGTAGCAGAGCGTGTTCTCTTGTATCTAGTTCAGTCACTGAACCCGGTGCACCTATTTTACTATAGTTTACTTTTTGTTTCCATATATAATTTTATCAATCCATTCAACATACTTTGACACTTTCGTAAATACTGCAGGCAAATTCCTCTTTTCACACTTTTCTATCCCATAAGAGGTAATTCCCACGATGTAATAAATGCCATCTTTTTTTACTTGAATAGGGCCACCAGAATCACCCTGAAAATATATATTATACGTTATAAATATCCTTGAAAATTTCTGCATTTCATTTTCTCACAAAAGTAAATGGCATTTGAAAATATTCCTTAGATTTTGCATTACTCAGTGAAATAATACAAGATGGATATACTTATAAGAATGCCGGTATTTGAGAACTATATCTTTCTCACAATCGGAAATTTTAAGTCAGCTATAATTTTTGAGGGTACCAATGTTCGAAAAATTTGCAATTTTTTTACTCTAAATCTAATAGTACGACCTTATTTTGCACGTTTCAAGGTACCCTCGTATACCAGTTTCTGTAAAGATTTATATAATAATACAATGGACATTTTAGTACAACTTTTTATTTTTTAAACATTTTTCATGAAAATACTTAGTATACGCTTACCATAATAGTTTAAGTAACTAACCACCGGGTGGGTCCTTAACTATTTGTTGGTTCTTATCATCTGTACCTATCTACATGTATTGTTTTGTATGTTTGTAGTATTTTTAATGATATTGTTAGTCTGTAACTATTTTATATTGATTTTACCTATCTTTGTATATTTTTTATATAGTAAGTAATCTCAGCGTACTAAGTTATGTTATTTTTCTTTTCTTTTGACGGGTGTAAACACTGGTGTGTATTGACATGAATTGAAATAAATAAATAAATAAATAAATAAATAATAGTGGCAGATTGTTAACGTTAAAATATAGCGATTGAGTCAAATATGCCTTAATCAATTGTTGCTCCTTTTCGTTCTACAGGGTGTTAAAGTTGAAAAAAATTTGTAGTTTTACATTTTTTGAGGTAGCAAATACAAATATGCAAATAGTTTAGGGGTCACGTCTAGGGGGCGCTAGTTGTATTGTCCTGTCAATGTAAAAATATGTCGAACATTTTATATTTTACAATTTTGAATTTTTTAACTAGAAATTATTGAATTACGTTCAAATGAAATCAAATCATTTATTGATGTCTATAAGGTACATTAAAATGTTTACACAAGTCAAAAGAAAAACACGAAAGATATAACATATAAGCAATACTACACTAAAGCTAAAAAACACATTCAGATAAATATAACGTAAAAAAAGTGAATATTACGAACATACATTATATATCTAAAAACTGCTCAGCAAAGAATTCTAGCCTTAAAACAGTCTGAATTTAGTGATCGAATCTCAGATGGAAGTCTATTAAAGAATTTAATGCAAAAATAATTTGTGCCATCTCTGGATTTCGCTAATATTGTGTCGCTGTCTTCTATGATGAAAATGAAAATTTTCTTGTCGAACAAATCTATTCTGATTATTTTTTATATAAATGAGACATTCAAATATGTAAACTGACGGCATTGTAAGTTTGAAATACTCCCGACAATCATCTATGTATTTTATTCCAGCCATAATTCTAATACATTTACGTTGTAAACCAAAAATTTTATCACTGTGAAACGAATGACCCCAGTTCAAAATTGCATAAGTGATGGTAGCATGAAAAGTACCATAATATGCAGATATGAGTACAGGCTTAGATACTACACGGTCCAAATTACGCAGTAGGAAAATATTCTTAGATACACGTGCGGATAAATCATTGACATGTTTTGTTTTATTTGAGTTATCACAAGTATTGATATGGCGAAGTGTAAAAAGCAAAGATTGAGTTTTGACAACATTTAAGTTCAATCTATTAGCAATAAACCAGTCCTTTATCAGCGGCAATTAAGTTATTATTTGACTCAATTCTAAATAAAAAATGTATACTTGTTACAAATCGATAAACTCAACTGTTTTCGAGATATAAACGTTTTAAGTTTTTGAGATTCGACGGGAATTAAATTAGAAAATTATTTTTTCCAAAGTAGTAGGCATCGACATAATAAATTGACAGCTCTCACTATAATACCACATTGTGTCTGCCAAATTTATTCAATTTGATTAGGAAGTAGTTTTTTCCATGTCGTTGTTTTTTAGAGAAGAGAATAACTTAATAGAAATTTCCCGCATCGTTGGATTGGACGCGGTAACGAAGTACCTCGGCCTGCACGTAGCCCTGCTTTAAATCCGCTGGATTTTTACTTTTGGGGATATCTTAAATCTTTAGTTTACAAAAACATTATTAATGGCCATGAACAACTGTGGATAAATATTCAAGAACTTTATTTATAGAACTTTATTTAACGTCAGTTAAAAAAATAAAAGGCTAAGAAAGTGCATTGAAGTCGCTTGTGGTGAATAGTTTGTTAAGACATGCATTTAATTTTTAATTCAGGCTTGGTATCTTAAGACCTGCTCCTGCTAATTTTCTAATTTAATTCCCGCCGAATCTCAAAAACTTAAAACGTGTGTATATCAAAAACGGTTTAGTTTATCGATTTGTATACCTTTTTTTATTTAGAATTGAACGTGGTTCAATAATTTGTAGTTAAAAAATTCAAAAAGTTAGACAGATTTTTACATAGATAGGACAGTATAACTAGCGCCCTCTAGACGTTACCCCAACACTGTTTGCATATTCGTATTTGTCTCCTCAAAATAAGTAAAACTACAAATTTTTAAAACAATCGGTCCATAGATACTTAAAATATAGATAAAAATAGAAAATATTTTTTCAACTTTAACACCCTGTAGAACGAAAAGGAACAACAATTTATTAAGGCATATTTAGCTCAATCACTATATTTTGACGTTAACAATCTGCCATTAAGCTGTGTACCATTATTAATGACTCCCTGTATACAAATTAAAAAATATTCATGATGTACATATTTTCATTTATGTCAATTATTTTAAAAAGGACAGTTTTCCACTACTGCACAAATAATGTACGCTTTTTGAGTAATTAATCTTTAGTAACTAAAATAAATCGCTGTAGGCAAAGATAAAAAAATGACGTCAAATCGCTTATCCATTTTTTTTTAATGTAGCCAAATAAAGTCATATAATACGAACATTCTAGATTTTCTCCTTTTTTTGATCCAAGAAGTCCTGATGTAACGTTGGTCAGGTATTTAACAGACCTCCTGTTTTTTTTAATAAATGGTACCTAATACTTACGGAACAAGTGTCGCCAGTATTGTACTTGGCACAGAACTGTGCGTCAGATATACTATTTGCTTGTAATGACCTATGCAAGAAGTATTCGTTGCAGTCACTGTTAGATTCTGGATCCATTTTAGCTACCCTCAGTATGTTACTCATCTGTTTCATACTATCTGAAAAATTATATACAGGGTGATTCACAAATGGTGACCGAAAATCAAACCTCGCATTCTTTGGTGAATTTTAAGGGTCTTTCCTATAAAGTTTTTATCTGGGACGCTTCATGAAAAAGATACGGGGTGTTAGACTTCAAAAAATATTTTAAATTTTTTTAAATAATTTAAAAAATAATTTTAAATGTCCATGTATTTATGTAAACATTGTCCAAAATCTGAGGGCATTTCTTAAAATATGCATGCTCCAGAGGCGGAGATACAGGGCATTGGTGGCATATAAAATACCTAGTGCGCCACTGCTTTATCGTAACAACCATGATATTTTCGGATTCACCTTTCAATTTTCTACAAATTACTACTCTTATGTTTTTCGAAAAAAGCCTGATTTTCGAGTAAAACTTAAAAAAAACTACTGAAAACACTTTTACTTAAATGACATGAGAAGCACTAATTATTCAGTTATTTATTCGAATAAAGAAATTAATAACATTAGTCATCATTTTAATTATATTAATTGAGTAAATGCTCAAAAATACGTCCATTTGCACGAACGCAGGCGCGATATCTTTTTAGTAACGAAAATGTAATTTGCTCGAAATTTGTTGTTGCTTGAATCTGATGAAAAGTATTATTTTTTCTTTCTTCTAACTGCTCAGACTATCAAAGTTGCTATATAATTTTAAACTGCATTTTATTCGAATATCGAAGTGTGTTTTCAGTTCGTTTTTAAGTTTTACTCGAAAATCAGGCTTTTTTCGAAAAACATAAGAGGGTAGTAATTTGTACAAAATTGAGAAACGAATCCGAAAATATCATGGTTGTTACCGTAAAGCACGGGCGTACTATTTTATTTAGAAAAATATGCCACCGATACCCTGTATCTCCGTCACTGGAGCATGTAAATTTTAGGAGAAGCCCTCAGATTTTGGACAATGCTTACATAAATACATGTGCCCAATTTCAAATTATTTCACTTACTAGTTTTTAAATTATTAAAAAAAATTAAAAATATTTTTTTGAAGTTTAACACCCCGTATTTTTTTAACGAAGCATCCTAGATAAAAACTTTATAGGAAAGACTCCCCTTAAAATTCACTAAAGAATACGAGGTTTCACTTTTGGTCACCATTTATGAATCATTCTGTATTATTATGATATGAAATTAGTTTAATAAGTTTAACTATAAACAAAATGTCTACAGTAGTGCAACTTCAAGTGTGATTGTATTACTAATAAAATAACGGTTTTTAAGAACATACAACGTAGGTCAATTTCGACATTTTTGGAGGGATTGTTGTTTCCCTCGAGAAGAGAGACAAAAAGTAGATATCTCGCGATCAATTGTCGAAAAGTAATTATTTTCATTATTTCGATTCGTTTAAGAGATTCAATTTTTGCCGAGTTTTGTAAAACCATATATCCATATTTTTTTTATTTTTGTGGCAAAGTTTTCTGCTATTTAATCAGCCCTATGCTGTAAAAACATTGAAATTAATATCAACCTTGAAGTGATTTCAATGAAAATTGATTTGTTCTTCAATTTTGGAGAAAATTGGTATGCACTAAGAACACTTGCTTACAATACGTTGACATTAAAATTGATTGAAATTTATTTCAAGTTTATTTGTGGCAACGTCGCTATTTGCTATATGGAGATACCGGTGATTATGGAAACAATCTATATGAACAGAAACGGTGACATCAGTCAAAAATTGTATTATAATATTCTTAATCATCAGTTTTGTTATTCTGAATTTATAAATTGCATATAAACGGTAAATATCACAACATAAAATTAACAAAACAATTTCTAGACTTATTTGTTACTTTTAAATATATCCCATCAAAAAAAGCCACCCGTTCGCAATATACAAAATTTTTGGAAATAATTATTGATCAGACGGATATAATAAAATGATAAGAGGAGAAAGCCTGGGAACGTATTTCTCAAGAGGTGAATGCAATGAGAGGAGCAGTAAAAATGCAGAAGGATCGAAAAAGGTAAGGGAACTTAAAAATAAGTAAGCACTAAGCTTATGTGAATTTACCAGTCAACAAAATATTTTGCTTGTGAACATACTTATCAGTTATTGCTCTTTGTATAAATCGTATTATAAGTATTTACCTACACTTAAAAAATACAAAATGACAGCATGTATTTATAATATGTAATAGATACCAAATTGCAACTTTTAAATAAAATTACTAAGTATATTTTAAATTACAGGCATTTATAGAATGGATACCCCATATACCAGGAAAAATAAGAGGTGAAAAGCCCCTTACCGACATAGAAGAAAAATATGCAAACATTACTGGATTGTTTGCCTCGTGTTCAGGTGTAAATATTCCAGAGTTGGGTTTTGGAAAAAGAACCAAAGTAAAAGCTAAAGCTAGGAAAATTCACTTAATAATAAGAATAATTAAGTGGAGGTGGCATTGCTGTAATTGAAATTTTAACAAATCTAGAAAAAAAAACTTTTGGAGGTTTTATTAAAAATTTAATATATGGGCACCCCCAAGTTATAGAGATCTAGGAAAATCTTTCAGTATAAAACTTTTTACATTAATTTTTTATTATTTATTATTAATTATTTTGCATTTTCAGCTAAACCATTTGAGTCGCATGATATGTTAAGGAGTCACATCGAAATGTTAGAAAAAAACTTATAACAATTATTTAAAAAATAGTATATTTATTTTGAATGTGGCATTAGAAAACTTGTTAAAATCTATAAGTAATTAAAAACACTTAAATATTAAATTAAAAATATTTTATTTCATATGGATATTTTTATTAATTTTGAATTAGCCTATTTCCTATAATATACGGCCTTTCTGAAAATTATTTCTTCTTATAATCTATATGTATAATTATCTTCTTCTAATTCGTCATTTTCATCATCATTCAACATTTCTAAAATAAAATTAACATTATACCTTTGTTAAATCGAAGTAATGCTACACTTACCATTATAATCATCCAAATTTTCATATCAAAGGATATACAGGTTATGTAATATTGCACGGGAATAAATTATTTGTGCTACCCTAGCTGGAGCAACAAGAATTGTTGATTAAATTGGTTTCAAGTTTCGTAACGTGAAGGTTTTCGACTTCCGTTACAATTCTTGACATTTGTCAACCTTGATCTGCAGTTTTATATCAATTTCTGCTTTAGTGCATACCAACTTTTGAAGTTTTCAAGGTTACTTGACATCATTTCAAACCCTTGACACATTTCAATCAATTTGTTTTTTACAGCATAGTAAACCTCCATTTTTATTGAAATGTCTGTCTAAATGTCATTTTTTCTTATAATTTCAACCTTGATATGAAGTCAATGTTCATACAGCATAGGGCTGAATTTGTAGAATCTAGTACGCGGAGAGCCAGAGGCAAAAAAAATTTTTGAATTTACTAAGTCTAGTTTTTTGATCGACGAAATTTGGGTCCGTCTCTGTCTCGAGAACCGCTCAATCAATTTTGATTTTTTTTTATTTTAGATATCTTCTCGAGACGAGTACAATAAATGTATACATTAAACATTAAATATTTATAAATTAAAAATATGCTATAAATAGTTTTCTTTGTCATATTTCATTTTTTTGCTTTTTTAGTCGAAACAGGCCTTCAATTTCTAATCTTAAGAAAGGGAGAGAGACATTTACAATAGGGTTACAAATAACTTAGGTGTCAATTGTTGGGATGGTTATATTATTAATTGAAGAAGATTACATTTAAATTAAATATATCCATTCCACAATGAAAAGAAAACAATACCTACTTGACCCTGTTGCTCCCCAACCAGTTGCAAATAAAGGCGATGGTACTTCATCGTCCAAATATAAGCAGGCTGGATAAATTTTGTTAAAAGTGATATTTCTATGGAGTTCTATTAGGGCTATGTCGTTGTGCCTACTCTTACTATGATAATCTGGATATATTTTGGTTTTCTTTATAAGAAAATCTTGTGCATTTTCTTCATTTAACTTGGTAACTCCTAGGCGAACAATTGTTGGCTTTATTTGAGATTTACGTCTAATACAGTGGGCGGCTGTGATCAAAAAGTTATTTGATATCACAGTTGCGCCACATTTCCATTCGGGTTCTGATTCATCATTTTCTTTATATCCTAGCGCTGCCTGAAATCAACACGTTTTTGATTAACATTTGCCTACCAACAATATTTTTATTATTGTAAAAAAACTGGCTACTAACAAAAAAATTTTTTTTGAAAAACAGAAAATTATAATAAATTTCTAAATCGATTTAACACTAACACTGAATGTTTTTCCAAAATTCAAATAAAACATTGGTCAAATCTATCAACTTAATCTCAGAAAGTTTTTTCATCCATTACACAACAATATGCAGGGTGGGCCACTAGTGTGAGAAAGTAAAATAACTCCCTTGTTATTCATAATACAGCAAAGAAGTTTATATAAAGGTTGTACAGAATCAAAAAACCTAAAGGGCAAAATTAATTTGAATCACACAGGGCGATGAGTAAAAACGGGACACGCCAAATATAACATTTTTTTAATGGAACACCCTATATATTTTTAAACATGGATTTCTGAGAAAATTCTGTATATGGCAATATAAACAGTTTAACATTTTAGTGCGCGGTTGCCAAGTTATGTAGAAAATTCTTCGAATTTTGGAAAAAACATGACCTCGAAGAAGTTGTATTATCTTTCAACTACCAACGCTTGGAGCAAAAATATTTGACAGATTTATAGGCAAATGTTAGGCAAAGACATCTATATTAGTTAATGTCGATATTTTATAAAGGGCATTTTTTAAAATACAATCATTTTAAGAAAGTTTAAACTTGATTTTCTAAAATTTTTCAAAGGGAGCACCCTGTATTTTATTATTCTATTTTATTCACATATAAGTCCACTACAACTTTTATTACATCACATATCACATATAAGTCCACTACAACTTTTATTAAGTACTACACCTAAAGTTGTTAGTTTTTAAGATATAGCAGCATTTCTGGAGAAACCTAATTTTTATTATTTTCAATCGCACGAAATGGCTTTCGAAAAAACTGTCACATTGTGTCAACTTGTCAGTTCATAATTTATCATTCCATTTTGATTTAATGTTACTAGTTAATATTTATTTGTGGAATTCTATAAAATAATAAAAATTAAGTTTTTTCAGAAATGTTACTGTATCTTAAAAACCAACAATTTTAGATATAGAACATGCTTAGTAAAAGTTGAAGTGGACCGATATGTGAATAAAATAGGACGATAAAATACAGGGTGTTCCATTTGTAAAAATTTAGAAAATCAAGTTTGAACTTTCTTAAAGTGATCGTGTTATAAAAAATGCCCTGTATAAAATATCGATATTAGCTAATATACGAGTCTTTGTATATTTATATTTGCCTATAACTCTTTCAAATATGTTTGCTCCAAGTGTTAGTAGTGTTAGTATAAAGTTAATACAACTTCTTCGAGGTCATGTTTTTTCCAAAAGTCGAAGAATTTTCTAGATAATTTGGTAACCCCGCACTAAAATGTTAAACTGTTTATATTGCCATGTACAGAATTTTCTCGGAAATCCATGTGTTTAAAAATATACAGGGTGTCTCATTTAACATGGTCTAAATTTGGCTTGCAAGATGTGAAGTTAAATAAAAGCTTGTAAAAAAATCCCACTCTAGATCCTATATCTTGTCATATTTGTATATTAGACCAGGACGGATCTGTTTTGAGATGGATGTGAGAGGGGGCAAGCAATTTTTTTCTGGATTACCTTCAGTACAACTCACATAAAAAGTGTAGTTCCCTAGATCTGAGCGAGGTCCGGAACGTTTTCAAAATTGCAAAAATGTTTAAAAAATTTAAATAAATACCTATTTTATTGGAGTTCTTTACTTATATCTTGGAACCTATGTATGTATTTTGGAAGAATATTGAACAGGAGAAAAAGGTTTAGAATTAAATTTTGCATAATATACTCTAAGTTAAAAATGTTTAAATTTATTACCGATGTTGCAAAATAGCAATAATTGATGAAAAAAGGCAAAATAATCAAGTTTCTTGGATAATTTTTTTTAAATATTTTAATTGCTCCGAGGGCATTCTAATTTTGGTAAAAAAACTTTAAGAGTATAATAAAACAACACAGCAAATTTCATTAAAATCAGTTCTCGCAAAATTCAATTCAAAAACTTTTTTACTCTTCAATATTCTTCCAAAATGCAGAGGTTCCAAGATATAAGTAAAATCTCAGACAAAATAGGTATTTTTTAAAATTTTTTAAACATTTTTGCAATTTTGAAAATGTTCCGGATTAGCTTACCCCCTCTTACATCCAAGAAGATCCGCCCTGGACAATTGAAAGACAATTTTTTTGAGAATGTTTCAAAAAAAAGATAATGTCACTCTTTTTCAAAGAGCATTTTTTTAGTTTAAAAATAAAAAGTACAAAAAACTAAAAATGTGTTATTTTTATATTTTTTTATAAACTAGGTACATATCACAACGAACAAAATAAAAAAAAGTTTATGAGGGGTTGGAATAAAAATTTGAAAAAATTCATACTCTAAATGGGTACTAAATAATACCTAAAAATCAGGAAAATTAAAAATGGTCGGATCATGACTTCAGTGATTTGACATGGAATATGATGCTGGAACAAGTAAGAACTGATACATTGCTAAAAAGTCCGTAATCGGAAAATTTCGATTTTTCTGATTTCCATATCATCGCAGAGGAAAATCAATTTTTCTGGACGGCTTGGTATAATGCTGGAACAAGTTAGAATCGATTCACTGCTAAAAAGTGAGGACAGCCAGGACATTGTCGATTTTTCTAACCTCCAAGCAAGGAGATTCCTCTATCATCGTAGAGTAGGTACTGTCGTATAATGTGAGAGAGCGAACTTCAGATTTCGACTATCTTTCGAATCCGAGTTCCAACGTACGGGACAATGCTCCGGCGCACGATGTATATGCAGCAATAAAAGCAACAAGCATTAAATTACATAATGTTTCTAATCCCGAAGCCGAAATCGCTGTCAGGGGAGAAAGTAAGAATTTCACCTATGTTTCCAATCTGGAGGCTAAGTCCGCCAGTAGCAACCTCACCTACGTTCCTATGATCCAAAATCAAAGCAAGAGACAGGATTTGCATAAAGTTTCCAATACGGAAGTCAAAGCCTCCCTTGAGAGCAAAAGTAAAATTTTCACCCAAGTTTCCATTCCGAATCCAAGAATCCCGGACAACGTCCTAAGTCCGATATCCAGTAACACAAACCAAATCCTAAGCTATAATTTGCACAAAGCTTCCATTCGAATCCGGTTACCATCCAGCCGCCTCGAACCAAGATGAAGCCGTATCCAAGGGAAACAAACAAAACCGACTATGTTTCAGATTTCCAACATCGCAGAGCCGCAGTTGAGCCAAGCCAGCCGATTACAAAAATCGACGATGTTTCCAGTCCACCTGCGAGACGCCGCAAATCGTCGAAAAAGCGCCCTATGGTGATGGAGACGAGATGGACCACATCGAGGACGACCGATATGAAGCCGACAACGAGCCAGCAGCCACCTTGTCAACGAAATCGACCCACTTTCCAATGGTCCCCGGCCTTGCAGGGGAGCACCGGTCAAGAAGAGGAAGAAAAATCGCATAAAAAAACCGGAAATCAACCGCGGATCAAGGCCGCGAATCCCCTATCGCGATGGATCGTCAGCTGCGGGCATTTGCAGTTATTTAACCGGATCGAAGTATCCGGCCAGTCTCTGTTGTGGGACGCTCAAAATTTTAGTTGCGACATTAAAGCCTATATAGTCAATATTACAGCCTTTCGCAAGCTTTTAACCAATTGTTAGAGTCAGATTTATGTTTAATAAATATATATAACCTAACCTACCTCTTATCTATAAAAGAAAGATAAAACGTCGTCCGGGCATTTATTTCTGACCCGCGGCAGACTCAAATCACGGACCATTAGCCAGCCCTATCATAAGTGTTAGATATAAGCTCTAGTGAAGTGCATCAAACCGCCCCTATAGTTATCAGAACTATATGAGCGTAGTGTTTTACCTCTAGATATATATAATTATAAGAATTATATATACAAACTACCTAATTAACGACTCTAATAGCCGCCTGAGCTCAAATATCAGAGATAGCGGGACGTATTGGCGCTTAGTCACTTTTCACCTATCTTTCCAATACCGATCCTATATCTCATATCATTCTAATCCAAATTCCCTTTATTAGAGTCAAACCTCTCATACATCCTATCTAAGGGAACGACAAGTTGTTACAAAATTAGATCGCGTCCTCTCACCTAGCCATGCCTAAGCGCAATTTTACCAAGTTAGCTACATCTCGAGCAGAGTCCAGCGCTACAGCGCGAGAAGCATATAATATGTCCAGAAACCCTGAGAGCCGCAACCTAATGGTAAGTGAAGCAACGGGAGATGAGGTACGACGACACTACGTTTAATTTTTTTGTCTCGCTTTGTATGATGCTGATGTTCCCCACAAAAAAAGTCAAGTCGGATTAAATCGAGACTCTTACCAAATTTTCCCTCTTCTGCCAATCCAACGATGAGGAAATTAATGGTTTAAAAAAAAGTTTCTTACGATGGCTGTATAATATGGCGAAGCGCCGTCATGTTGAAACCATATTTCAGGACTCATTTCGTCAGATTCTCCTCCAAAACAAAGTTCTACAACAACAGCAACCAATTCCTCTAATAATTCAAGGTACTCCCTGAGCCATTCAAATTCCCGTCGATAAAAAAAAACCCAACTATACGGTTTCTTACGATACCTGCCCACAGATTTACGTTTTGAGGTAACTGAGTAATGACCGAAAAATTACTGTAACGCTCACTTTTGACTTTGACTTTTGACAGTTCAATAAAAATTAATTTCCCGACCAACGGGCCAATAAAAAAGATGGTGCCATAAAAAACACCCTATCCTCCCCACCGCCACTGGTTACATTTTTGAAAATTGAATTTCATCGTAATATATTTGCATCCGCATTCGTATCCGCAAACATTGAAAGTATTTAGAAACACCCTACTCAGGAAGCATACTCCCACTATAGTCATATAAATTGTTCTCTTATTATAGAAAGAAACAAAAAAAATTACCATATAGGGATATTCATTAGCCGCAGCTTCTTCTCCATCCAATATTCTAAATCCAGTACTAGCCTTAAATTCTGTAGTAACTTTCTCACAAACTGTAAACAAATGAGAAATTGTACAAATAAATATTTACGTTAGGTAATATAAAATATAACCATAACATCGGCGACATATTTGCGGTAATGCTGCGCGACAATGACGCAGCAACCTTTTATAACACATGTAATTTGTCTCCATCATATTAACTATAATCGGAACAGATGCAGTGCCGCAGTGGTGATACCGAATTTAATCTAACATGCGTATTTAATAATTAATAATTAAAGTAGGATTTTTAAGGTTTTGGCAAGGCGATAACAAAAGAAAAGTAAGGTAAGGTAAGTCTAACAATATTTTACAAGACGATAATTCGACTACAGGGAAATTGTCTAAAAGTAAAATATAAGGTAGCGCGGACCAACATTGACATTGGTATAACATTACCCCATAGATAGTATAACATTGACACCCCATATAAATTGAAGCCTAAGGGAATCGTTAAGCAACATTGATACATAAATTTGTTTTATGGCCTTTTTAGGTACTTAGAAACGAACAATTTTTCCTTTTTTTTCAAAACTAATTACTTATTGGGTAAAACAGCCTAAAAACCTTGTTGTTTTTAAAGAAATCATATTTTTATTCTGAATAACACAAGAATAATATAATGTAGGAACCTTATTATCAAAAACTGGAACTTAATCTAGGAATTGCGACTTAAAAACATACAAACTAAATTTTGGTACGTGACTTTGGCAAGGTAACAATACTTACTAAACTAATAAATTTTGGTAACTCCACTAATGTGGGGCACTTTAAAAAAATGCAATCCTCTATTTATCGCCGGTTCGTCAATAATTGCAACTACTGCATTTAATAATACCGACTCTGTGTCCTCAACATCAGGATATACAAAATACAAACCCTTTTTACGTAAAAAGTTAACCTTAATATCGCCATCCTTTACTTGTACAACCTTTCCTATGTAATGAATGATATCTTTTTTCCCAGGATATTTAACGACCACCCAATTCCCAAGTTTAACGTTTTGAATGTCAGCATGGGTACGGTACTTCTTTGACTGTTGTTTGTTTTAGCCTCAATTACCCCATTTTCTCCTTCTTCTTCAATTATCTCATTCTCTACTTGTTCATCTGCAGTGATCAAATCTTACCTCACTTTCAGACGAACTGGAGCTAGGTTCTTGTGATTCTTGTGCCTTTCTTTTCTTTTTTTTATTTGCCAATGGTTGCTTTTGGTTTTGCTTTTTTTTTAGATTGCTTTTCTTCTTCCTTTTCACGAAGTCAATTGGCCATTTTCGCCCAGAAGATGTGGATGGCATCTGAGCAGAATCCTCACCGTTAACAATGTGTGCCATCTGAGATTTTTTTGTCATTTTTTCTAAAGACAAAGGGTAAATGCCCGACCCATCAAAGCCACCTACCGCGTTACTTCTGGACAAACTTGGAGTGTTGACCAATTTTTTCATTAAAGAAGGGAATGCAATTTTATCGACATTTTTATAACCCGATTTTTGATAAAAATCTCGAAGTATTTTTCTCCAAGACGCCTTAACCGATTTGTAAACGCCAACATCCAGAGGCTGAACTAAATGGGACGTGTGTGTCTACCAAGTCCAAAGATAAATGTGAGTTATGCCCATCCAAAATAAGAAGCTTAGTACCCTGTAAATCTGAAGTTGATGGAATAAAACAGTTAGTAAACCAATCAAAAAACTGAAGGGACTCCATCCAACCAGTCGGTGAACAATTATAACGACAATTCTCCGGTCCGTCCACGCACCAAGTGGAAAACAGGTGAAGTCCTTTGTAGTTGATAAACATTGGTAAGTAGTCTCCAACAGCATTGCAACACATAAGGACCGTGTACGTAGCTTTTGTGACGCTACCGACTAATTTGTTTGGATTTCGGCTACCCCTTTTGCACAACACTTTCTGGACACCTGCATCGGTTTGAAAACCAATCTCATCACAGTTAAAGATGTTCTGTGGCTTTTTATCCAAACCGAAATGCGAATAGACAGCTTGCAATTTATTATAACAATCTTCCATTACCTCCCGTGACCCCGCTACAGCTCTATTCTTGGGAAGATTTTGAGCCACTCGTCTACTTATTTCTTTAGACCATCTTTTTTCGATCATCATGCACCAATCAATACCTGGCATTCCATTTCGGAACGGATTCGGTCGATCAAGTTTTTGCACATCTTTGGAGTTGTAGTCGGTCGAATCCATAGCCCCATTCGCCAAGCTTAACTAACGTATGCACCAACATTTCCTCTTCGTCATAGGTTAAAACTGTAGGATGTCCAACAGCTTTACACTTAAATCCTTTAAAATGGTTGCCTTAAAACTGTCACCATTTCTAACTGCTTGCAGAGCTTTTTGCATAGCCTCGTGATCATAGGACTTGTACTTTCGAATATTAGGGCGTCTGGGTTTCTTTGTGCGTGCCATCTACAAAAAATTTTGAGAGTCAAAGTTGGCCTAAGGATTACCAGTGTCAATGTTGGACTAGGGGCTAACATTGACACTGTCAAACATAACCTTAAATTAATTTTCATAAAAAAAATGTTTAGTTTTACAATATCACTAACTGATACAAAAACTGATTTGTAATATTAAAAGTAGAGCTTAAATTACCTTTAACACCAAAACTTCGGGCCTGTTGACTCAAAATTCACAAAGTTTTCTATGCAAATATTGGGAGCACGTTAAACATCAGCTGTTAAAAGCCGCCGTTATAAATCCACAGGTTGCTGCGGAGCATGCGCATTACGTCTATACAAAGCCTTCGGATGGTAATAGAGCACCATAAAGAGAAAATAGTATGGCTACCAATGTAGTCACATTTTTTATTAGATTTAGAAATTCAGCCCTATGCTGTATGAACATTGACTTCATATCAAGGTTGAAATTATATGAAAAAATGACATTTAGACAGACATTTCAATAAAAATGGAGGTTTACTATGCTGTAAAAAACAAATTGATTGAAATTTGTCAAGGGTTTGAAATGATGTCAAGTAACCTTGAAAACTTCAAAAGTTGGTATGCACTAAAGCAGAAATTGATATAAAACTGCAGATCAAGGTTGACAAATGTCAAGAATTGTAACGGAAGTCGAAAACCTTCACGTTACGAAACTTGAAACCAATTTAATCAACAATTCTTGTTGCTCCAGCTAGGGTAGCACAAATAATTTATTCCCATGCAATATTACATAACCTGTATATCCTTTGATATGAAAATTTGGATGATTATAATGGTAATTGTAGCATTACTTCGATTTAACAAAGATATAATGTAATTTTATTTTAGAAATGTTGAATGATGATGAAAATGACGAATTAGAAGAAGATAATTATACATATAGATTATAAGAAGAAATAATTTTCAGGAAGGCCGTATATTATAGGAAATAGGCTAATTCAAAATTAATAAAAATCTCCATATGAAATAAAATATTTTTAATTTAATATTTAAGTGTTTTTAATTATAGATTTTAACAAGTTTCCTAATGCCACATTTTTTAAATAATTGTTATAAGTTTTTTTCTAACATTTCGATGTGACTCCTTTACATATCATGCGACTCAAATGGTTTAGCTGAAAATGCAAAATAATTAATAATAAATAATAAAAAATTAATGTAAAAAGTTTAATACTGAAAGATTTTCTTAGATCTCTACAACTTGGGGGTGCCCATATATTAAATTTTTAATAAAACCTCCAAAGGTTTTTTTTTCTAGATTTGTTAAAATTTCAATTACAGCAATGCCACCTCAACTCAATTATTCTTATTATTAAGAGAATTTTCCTAGCTTTAGCTTTTACTTTGGTTCTTTTTCCAAAACCCAACTCTGGAATATTTACACCTGAACACGAGGCAAACAATCCAGGAATGTTTGCATATTTTTCTTCTATGTCGGTAAGGGGCTTTTTATCTCTTATTTTTCCTTTTAGCTATATGGGATTTCCATTCTATAAATACCTGTAATTTAAAATATACTTAGTAATTATATTTAAAAGTTGCAATTTAGTATCTAATACATATTATAAATACCTACTGTCATTTTGTATTTTTTAAGTGTAGGTAAATACTTATAATACGATTTATACAAAGAGCAATAACTGATAAGTATGTTCACAAGCAAAATATTTTGTTGACTGGTAAATTCACATAAGCTTAGTGCTTACTTATTTTTAAGTTCCCTTACCTTTTTCGATCCTTCTGAATTTTTACTGCTCCTCTCATTGCATTCACCTCTTGAGAAATACGTTCCCAGGCTTTCTCCTCTTATCATTTTATTATAACTCTGATCAATAATTATTTCCAAAAATTTTGTATATTGCGAACGGGTGGCTTTTTTTGATGGGATATATTTAAAAGTAACAAATAAGTCTAAAAATTGTTTTGTTAATTTTATGTTGTGATATTTACCGTTTATATGCAATTTATAAATTCAGAATAACAAAACTGACGATTAAGAATATTATAATAAAATATTTGACTGATGTCACCGTTTCTGTTCATATAGATTGTTTCCATAATTACCGGTATCTCCCTATAGCAAATAGCGACGTTGCCACAAATAAACTTGAAATAAATTTCAATCGATTGTAATGTCAAGGTATTGTAAGCAAGTGTTCTTAGTGCATACCAATTTTCTCCAAAACTGACACCGGACAAGTTTTTAAAAAAAATTTTTTTTGGATAAAGTAAAAATCAGAGCATTACGTACATCATTGCTTAGTATTACTATATAGTATGCCTGTCTCAGGAAATTATTAGATTTTTTTAAAAAAAATCATATCTAATAAAAAAGAAATTATGAAGATATGTCAATGTTTGCCCCTCTTACCTTATATTTATGAAAAGTTTTCTTGGGAAATCTATTATTACGCTTTGACCTTCTAAATCAATGGTTCCCTAGTCTAGTTTCATACTTACATTCTTTAGAACTCCTGACAGTTGTAGTCATTTTCTCGGCTGCAAATAAAATTTAATATTACACTACAGACAGTAGTGTCCGTCAAGATCTTTGCAATATGTAGGAATAATTTTTAGGGCTGATATTTAAAAAATGTGATGATTGTTTCTGCACTTTTGACTTGATTCTGACACACGTGATAATTGATCAAAAATTGTACCTATAGTCTGGAAATGTACAACATACACATACAATTTTTTCAGAAATCGCAAACAATATTAATATTAATAGCCCAGTCGGGTTGTCATTTAACCGGGAAAAAATTAGGGACCACAATTTTATTGTTCTAACCTTTAGGGGGGGGTCAATAGTAGCGTAAATTCAGAATCGCGACTGAATTCCACCCCTGCGTCAGCCGCCATCTTGAATTTAAGGAAAAATCGTTTTTGCTCAATATCTCGGCCATTTTCAACTTTACAACAAAAATGGTAAGGACTTAAGTTGTTGCAAATGCGATTTCCTACAACTTCTTTTATTACAAATTTTATCGTGCGATCGATATTTTTCAAGTTAAGGGGGAAAATAGTGACAAAGTATAATTATTGAATTATCTCGTTTGTTATTGACTTTACGACATAAATGTACATAAACAAAGTTGGAAAGAATTATATTTTCTACAATTTTGATCTCTTTGATTTTTTCGCTACTACCAAAATTTAAGGTCCTACGCCTATGGCAAGCCTAACTAAACTCAAGGGATCAACATTCCATAGGCCTGACGTCTCCGCAAGCGTAGGACCTTAAATGTTGGTAGTAGCGAAAAAATCAAAGAGATCAAAATTGTAGAAAATATAATTCTTTCCAACTTTGTTTATGTACATTTATGTCGTAAAGTCAATAACAAACGAGATAATTCAATAATTATACTTTGTCACTATTTTCCCCCTTAACTTGAAAAATATCGATCGCACGATAAAATTTGTAATAAAAGAAGTTGTAGGAAATCGCATATGCAACAACTTAAGTCCTTACCATTTTTGTTGTAAAGTTGAAAATGGCCGAGATATTGAGCAAAAACGATTTTTCCTTAAATTCAAGATGGCGGCTGACGCAGAAGCGGAATTCAGTCGCGATACTGAATTTACACTACTATTGACCCCCCCTAAAGGTTAGAACAATAAAATTGTGGTCCCTAATTTTTTCCCGGTTATGCCCTTTTTTTTGTCTAACTCGACCGGAGTATAACTAAGAAATTTTTATTAATGCATATCTAAAATTTTTTCATTACAATCTAATTTTTATGAGTTCGTTTCCTTGACAATCATCGTTTATTTATTATTTTGATAAAAGTCAAATTCGTTTTAATACCTATAAGTGCTAAAATATATTAAGAAGTATTTAAAATTGACAGTAGTGATGATGTTCAGGTGTCCGGGACACCACCAGAGTTAGTAGCAGCTGCAAAAAATGTGACTTATTATCAAGCAAATCTAGAGAAAAGTACGAATTTGTTTACAAACGTTTCGAGATTTATTGCCTTAAAAAAATACGACCTTCTCATCCGATTTATCTACAAAGTTGAAGGCATTCACGTTATGGTCAAATTACTCCAAGCTGAGAGTAACACAAAGGAAGACATTGATATATCAAAATATTTGAAAGTGCGTGTTTCCCTGAAACGTCAAGGTGATAACTGTAAAGCAAAATAGTTTATAGTTTTGTCAAATAAACAACTTGCAACGTTTATTACTCAAGCACCAGATAAGGTATTAATGAATAAGGTACCTACGTTTAGATGTGAAAATTCTAAAATATCTAGATATTAGCTTTTCTTTTTTAGCTTGCCTTAACATTTGGTGTTGCCGGTGCATATCGTCGTGAAGAACTGTATCAATTAAATTTGAATGATATAGATGATTGCAAAGATCAAAGATTTTGATTAAAATACTTAAACGAAAAAACCGGGATCATTTCTGATAAAGGAAATTTATATTCAACTGTATAGAAAATATGTTGCATGTCGCCCAGGAAATTTTGAAAGTTGTCGCTTTTTCTTTAAATATTCAAATTCAATTTGTATTAATATTGTCGAAGGAGAAATAATTAACACCAATAATGTCGACAACTTTTCGAGTAAAGTTCAACCAATGTTTAATAGCTGTACAAACTGAATATAAACATAAACAAATAGTTATAATAAATGTTTAATATGTGGAACGCGTTAAGCAAATGTAATATTTACTAAATAATGGTTTTCTGATGTAAGTTGGTTTACCTGTATATATGTATTTATGAGTATTTAGTGTTTAAAATATATATAAAAAACAATACGCGGAAGTTAACTCTCCCGGCCTAGACCCGAAATGTAACTCCCACGTTATCTTTGCTGATGGTTGCTTAGCAACGAACTAAAATACTAGAATACGGTATTTTGGAGTCTGGTGCCGAAAAAGTAAACATTTTCGATCGCAAAATAGTTTTTTTTTTAATATAGATATGATATAAAAGTGATTCGGAAAAAGTGTTAAACATTTTAAATATAGGGATCTATGTATTTACGAATAAGTTGAAAACGCTCTTTCTTTGGAAATACACAATTTTCATTAGCTCCAAATCAGTGATCACGTGACATATGTAAAATTAAATTATAAATTGTCACAAATGTAGAAACAATTCTCTAACATTTTAAAAAATATTTTAGTATCTTACAAATTTTTCCATGTATCTTGCAAAGATTTGGGTAGATACTTTGTTATTTAAAGAGGTATTTCTATCACACTAAATGGATTTGTTTAAATAAATAAGTCCTTGCGGCAAACGATTAACGGGATTGAATTTATAAATTTAGTTTTGCCTAAACAGAAATACTTCACACTGAGAAAGTACCTAAGTAAATATTCCCGATTAAAATATAATTTATATTACTGTCTCAGTGTGATTATTTCTGCTTGGGCAACACTAATTGTGTAAAACCAATTAATTCCTGCTTGATCTTTCTTACGAAAAGAGTTATTTATTTTAAGAATTTCTTTTCAGTGTAAGTAGTTTGTATTTAATGCTATGCAACATTTCTCTCTTAGTACTTACTTGATGATGATTCGGAATCTTCAGAATCGCTAGTTTCTACAATTATATTATCTGAAAACAATATGGTACATATTAAATAACATAACAAACCACAATGAGATTTAAAAAAGTAAAATGTAAAAAACATAGTACCTACTCTGATGTTATTCCAAGCATTAAAAATGGTGAAATAGAAAAGATAAAAAGCTGTTACAAATTTGGATAGGAATGGTAAGTAATATTAATTAATAATAAACATCTTTAACAATCAAAATCGTTGAAACCCTAAAACGTCACTTAAAATTAAAAATAATAATTGAAATGTTCAAACTGTGGCGCGGACCTGCCATTAGAACTTCTAGATCGCCCTGATGTTCATTTCGGTTCTTATTGAGATTCAATGTTTCCACTTCACTATTCTTCGCAATATTTACATCTTCAGAGGTGACTTTGTAAAAGTTTCATCGCGACTGAGACCGCTTGTACGCCATAATCCGTGGCAGAAAAATTTCCTCAATGGAGCAGGGTCGAACGGAATTACTACTCTTTATCCACCGCAATCTCTGGAGGCCCTAACGACAAGCATCGTCGCGTCGCGTCGGTTCGTCGAGTCTTCTGCTGTCCTGACTGGGCCCCACCGGAAACCGCTTGAGACTTCCTTCTTTATTCGGCCTTACAGCGTTGCTGACTCTGCTCGCACATCAGTTTTCGAAAATTGCCCATTATTATTGCAAAAGACGATGGATGTTGATGTTTATGGAAAAGACGATCAATCCAAAGACATGTGTGCCAAAGACCCATTCGATTGACCCTAAAATTGTTGCTCCAGCTATTTGTTAATTAATTTCATTCGTTTTTTTTTTTGCAACTAATTGTTTAATTACCAAACGTTACTTTTATATCGTAGATATAGGTTCTAATAGTTGATCCATAGAAACGTCTCGAAAAAGAAAAATTTGGAAATTTGTAGTTTTGCATTAAATGGAGCTTATTTTTATGGTAATTTTAAAAAATAGAGAAATCACCTACTCCTCTTTGTTCGCAGTATAACTCTTTTTTAATGACGTTAATTGTTAATTAACTATTGAGCGTATCGGAACGGGAATTTATAGACAATTAAAGAAAGGGTTGAACTTTTATTTTCAAAAAATTTTACGTTGATGGTTCGTGTAATAAACGCGTTAGCAGAAGTAAAAATTAACGTTAATAAACGGCATGCACGCGGTAAAAGGATTGCCGGACCCACGCACGCGCCTGAACGCCATTCTCGTTGCGCGCGATATTTTTGTCTTCAACATTTCAAATTCTTTATCTCGAGAAACGCTCGATCAATTTTGATGTTTTTTTTTTATTTTAGGTGTCTCGTCGATACGAATACAATGCCGTCATAAAATGTGTACATTATCGGTATTAATCCGTCGCAAATTAAACATTAATTATTTATAAATTAAAAATATCCATTAGAGTGGCCCAAAAATAACGAAAAAAATTGTGAAAATATGTTAGTTTATCATGTTTTAAGAGCCCCCTCAAAAATTAGCTTAAAAAAAATTTTTTAGAGGTCGCTCAAGATTTTTAAAAATTTACAAAATCATCAAAAATTTAATTTTTTTATTTTTCGATTCTGAACATTTCAAACCGATATTTTAATTTCTAGAGGTCAATGTTTTCAAGCGACCTCTAAAAATAAATATCAACGAACTAATAATTTTTTTATTGAATTTGATGAATAAAAGAATAGAAATAAATCACGGTACACTTAAAAAATTTCTAGAAGCAAAATTTAATACCGCAGCGTGAGTATCAAATATTTATAATTTTTTAATTTTTTAAAATTTAAGTGTCTCGTGATTTATTTCTATTCTTTTGTTCATCAAATTCAATAAAAAAATTTATTAGTTCGTTGATATTTATTTTTTAGAGGTCCCTCGAAAACAGATACACTACTTTGAAATTTAAAATAATTATGAGTGACCTTTAGAAATTAAAAAAATCGATTTGATATGTTCAGAATCGAGATTTTTTTCAACCTAGAAAATGATAAAATAATGAGAAAAAAAAAGTTTTAAAAATATCAATTTTGACGATTTTGGAAATTTTTAAAAATCTTGAGCGACCTCTAAAAAAATTTTTTTGTGCTGATTTTTTGAGGGGGTTCTTAAAACATGATAAACTAACATATTTTCACAAGAGACACGAAAAAAAATATTCGTTTTTTTTTAGCCATATAAATTCTACTTGTTATTGCTATAAATATTATTTTTGATACGAGAAAAGAGTAAGCGACAAGCGAGCGCGTCTACAACAAGTACAGTTGAAGAATGCGCGTGCGGGCAAACGATGTTCTCGGACAGTTGTTCTGGTCGACTGCGTCATAAATTTCAGTTGTGGACAAGTCGCCTGGCAGTGCAGTGCAGCAATGCGGAATTTGGTGTGATTCAGATAATTTTAATATATTATAGGCACCATTCTATTACTCATTCATATTACAATTACTTGCGAAAGGGAGAAACAAGAGGAATATTTTGTTTACTAATTACAACATGGCATTTTGGAGACCTTTTAAAACGGAACAAAACGAAATTTACCATCAATATAATAAAATTGTTTGAGGACATAAATAATCAAAATATGTTGTTGGCCAAATGAACATATAATAGAAATTTTCTGCACATTCTATACAAATTATTATTATTTTTTACCTTTAGCAGGAAACTTTTTTAGGGAGGCCTATAAAAAGTCATTAAATTTTATTGCCAGGCGTTTTTTTACATATTCAACTGACTTCGGAAGGATTATACCCATCAACCCATCTCTATATCACGATCGTCTGTTATATCGCCGGTGCCATTGAGTACGCTCCTCACGTCGTCCTTTGTTGTTTAAAAAAGGTACACAGGTTCAGCTCATCCAAATTCTTTCTTTACGATTCATATCATTTAAACACTGTTCGATTTTCTATGTTTTTCATTTCACTAGATTCTCACAAGTGTCTTCGAAATTTATTGTATGTCCCTCTTCTAAAGCATGTTGGTCGATAGCTGATTATTCAAGATGGTTATTTATGCTTTAAGAATTGTTGATTGTTGTAATAAACCCTCTTTCTCATATTTACATACCTAATCCTTCCTTCATTCACGTGGTATGCGGTATACCTCAGGTGTGAACAAAGCCTTAACTCCTGTTGGATTTTTTGTGTAGGAACGAACGTTGTACCTACTTCCTTTCTCTGTAATACTTTAGCAATGTAGTCTGTTTTATTAAAAACCTAAGACAGGTATGCTGCCTGTTGGTCTTCGTTCGGTTTCTCACAATCTTTTCGTCAACGTCTAAGGTTGATGACTTGTTTGATATCGGCAATAAATAATTAAAAAATAAGAAATTTGAAGACAGGATGTTGCATTTGAAAAATCAGAGAAAAGGTTACCTTTATTTTGGATATTTTCAATTATTTTAATTGTAACCCTTATCATTAGAAAGTTATTTTACAAATTTTAACACACTATATTTCCTATAAAATTTAAATAATTTTCTAAACAATTTGGTAACTCTACATTTGGATTAAATATTACTTGTACCACCATGCAGAATTTTACAAGAAATTTAAATATTATCTGTGTAAAAAATATGCAGGTAAATTAAAAAAAACTCAGCTTAACAAGATTCTCGATTTAATGAATTTAAAATATTATTTGTAAGAAATATAAAAAATACAGGACATTACAATAATACTCACTATCGCTTGGTCCTTTCATTAGCGACGGACAACAAACTAATTCATCGTTACTAGGATACGTAAATCCACACCTTTTCAATCCAGAAACACCATTTTTTGCCATGGACTCCACAGCTGGAGGACAATTTATTATACGTTTACATGTCCCGGAATCGCAATTTGATCCCTCTGAAAAACGTATGCAGTTAGTACTTTATGAAAACAGAGAATCACTGGAAGTACCTAAAATACTAGTACAATTCAATGAATCATGCGTTATTTATCATTTTCAACAATTTTCATGAAATACATCCAGTTACAAGCTCTTCAAAAAGTACTGCTTTTGTTGTTAAATAAACCAGGTTTTTTAGGCAATTATATCCGATAATTATACACATAACAACCGTTGAAATACGAAACATTTGACAGAAAGAAAAAAGAATGAAGAACATATTTATCTCGCATTTTTCTAACTTCAATAATATACATATACAGGCTGGTCCAGATTTTAATAGACAAACTTCGGGAAAGTACTAAACAGCAAAAATTAACATCACTTTGCTCTATGAACATAGGCGCAAAAAGCCACCGTTTATGAGATACATGGCGTTGAAATTAACAAAACTAAAACAATTTTTTTAAATATCTGGAAAACCACTATTACTGTAATGCCCGTATTATCTAAAGTTTTGGAGACAGCAATGGATAATCAAATTCGAAATCATCTTAACAATAAAGAAATACTTCCAGTGTTCTAGTCGGAATTTAGAAAAAATCACAATTGCTTAACTGCTATTCTTCTCATAACTGATGAGATTATAAGTCAGATTGATAAAGGATTTTACCGAAGCATTTGATACGGTTCATCATGATATATTACTCTCAGTTTTACATTTTGTAGGTTTCAGTAAAAATGCGGTTTCATTAATAAAGAATTATTTAATTAATCGGTTGCAGCGAGTCGTTTATAATAATCGACAATCAAACCAAGTAAGAATGTTGTCAGGTGTACCTCAAGGGTCTATTTTGGGACCGCTTCTTTATACTATTTACACGCTAAATTTTGGAACATTTATTACTTACTGTAAATTCCATTTTTACGCAGATGATACACAATTATACTACTCGTTTTTTCCTTCAGAGGTAAATAATGCTTGTGATAAAATTAACGCTGATTTGTCTGTCTTAACTGAAATAGCTGCTGATCATTGTTTAAAGCTTAATGGTTTAAAATCGTCGATTTTATTAATAGGTCAACAAAATAAGCTTAATGAAGTAACAAAGGACCCCCCCCACAGAATCCTTATGGGAATTGGCTCCCGGTTAAATTAGCTGAATTTTTAGTATATTATAGTATTCATGGTTCTGATTAAAAGTCCTCATGGGCACAAGCGTCCAAAACCTCTAAATTTCGAGTTATGAGCCTCAGAGGCGCTGGGTGGAGTTTTTGGACTTTTATGGATTTTGCAAGTTTCACATTCTCTAGCGTACTTAATGGTATAGGCTCGCGGTCAACTCGGCTGATTTGACAGTATGTTAAAGTTCTGATAAAAAGTTCTCATGGGCACAAGCCTCCAAAACCCAGAGATTTCGAGTTATTGGCCTCAGAAAAGTGCTGGATGGATTTTTTGAACTTTTATGGATTTACCAAGTTCCACATTCTCTAACGTACTTAACGGGATGGGCTCACGGTAAACTCGGCTGGTTTTACAGTATGTTAAAGTATTCTTCGTGATCAAAAGTTCTGATGGGCGCGTGCCCCCAAAACCCCTAGATTTCTAGTTATCGGCCTCAGACGGGCGCTGGGTGAATGGTTCGGACTTTTTCCGACTAATATTAATCCCGTGAATTTCACGTTCTCTATCGTACTTTAAAGTGCGTATATGTCCTCAAACACCACCCAAGCCATTTTAAGCCTCCTCTCTCTTGTATGAAAATCTTCAATCCGGAAGGGCCCTGTCAGCCGCATCAAGTATATGGTAGAGTACTGAAATGGGCGGATACTTTACATTTTGCTGGTGCCTCGCGAAACTAAGGTACCATAAGATACTGGCAATATGAGCACAGCAACATAGCGTCCTAGCTCTGGACTTATAAGTGCAGTAATATCCAGCGATCGGATCTTCCATTTGAACATCACCATATCCGTCATGCTCCGTCACATAAGCGATCCATTATTGGTGGATAGTGGCATTTCTAAAACGGGAATACACTCTGAATCTCATGAACCCTGGATCCAGAACATGTCTATCCACCTGAAATATTTGTTCCTCACGGTTCAGTACGTCTTGAATATATGAAGGAGATAATTCTAATTGATAGACCCCCACTTTTAAATCCTTCAAATATTCAAGAGTAAGCTCTGGGAAATCCGCAAGTTGATCGAGGTCTAATCTTACCCAATCTGCGATCCTGCGCCGGTGTAGATTTTCAGCTTCAACTCTCGCCTGGACAACATTAACTTGTTGAGCCCTTTCTCGCATCGTAATGGCCAAATCCGCATCAGCACCAGCCATATGTATCAGGTCACGGTACCGATTGATAATTGCGCCAGCGATGCGATAAAAGTCACCAATGTTTTTCGTATGAGGCATTCTTATAACTCCGGCTAAGAACTTGAAAATACTTTTGATGTGACCATTTCGAGCTTCCACAATCCATCGTGTTTTTGTAACTAGTCTATTGTTATTGGCTTCCTCTCTGGTGAATTGACGTTGTCCTCTTTTCAATAATTTTGGCATATAATGTCGTATATCCAAGCGGTCAAGTAACTCGATGGCATCACGGTAACCTCTGTCCATCATCATTCAGGTGTTCCATGACTCGCAATTGATGGTTGCCGGGGCTTGCGCGCATGAGAGTTCTTGATCAGCATGAAGAGCACTTTAACATACTGTCAAATCAGCCGAGTTGACCGCGAGCATATCCGGTCAAGTACGTTAGAGAATGTGGAACTTGGAAAATCCATAAAAGTCCAAACACGTCCACCCAGCACCTTTCTGAGGCTCATAACTCGAAATTTAGAGGTTTTGGACGCTTGTGCCCATGATGACTTTTAATCAGAACCATGAATACTATAACATACTAAAAAATCAGCCAATTTAACCGGGAGCCAATTCCCATAAAGATTCTGGGGGGTCCTTTCTGAAAATGGAAAACTAAGCTTTCCGCGATTCGGCGTTCTACTCAGGTTGACGGCTACTCGGGTAAGGCGGACTNTGCTATGATTGCAATAGTACGTATATATATATATATGGGTCATCTCCAATAATTGTATCCAAAATAAGTTCCTCGACTTATGCTATGATTGCAATAGTACGTATATATATATATATGGGTCATCTCCAATAATTGTATCCAAAATAAGTTCCTCGACTTATGCTATGATTGCAATAGTACGTATATATATATATATGGGTCATCTCCAATAATTGTATCCAAAATAAGTTCCTCGACTTATGCTATGATTGCAATAGTACGTATATATATATATATGGGTCATCTCCAATAATTGTATCCAAAATAAGTTCCTCGACTTATGCTATGATTGCAATAGTACGTATATATATATATATGGGTCATCTCCAATAATTGTATCCAAAATAAGTTCCTCGACTTATGCTATGATTGCAATAGTACGTATATATATATATATGGGTCATCTCCAATAATTGTATCCAAAATAAGTTCCTCGACTTATGCTATGATTGCAATAGTACGTATATATATATATATGGGTCATCTCCAATAATTGTATCCAAAATAAGTTCCTCGACTTATGCTATGATTGCAATAGTACGTATATATATATATATGGGTCATCTCCAATAATTGTATCCAAAATAAGTTCCTCGACTTATGCTATGATTGCAATAGTACGTATATATATATATATGGGTCATCTCCAATAATTGTATCCAAAATAAGTTCCTCGACTTATGCTATGATTGCAATAGTACGTATATATATATATATGGGTCATCTCCAATAATTGTATCCAAAATAAGTTCCTCGACTTATGCTATGATTGCAATAGTACGTATATATATATATATGGGTCATCTCCAATAATTGTATCCAAAATAAGTTCCTCGACTTATGCTATGATTGCAATAGTACGTATATATATATATATGGGTCATCTCCAATAATTGTATCCAAAATAAGTTCCTCGACTTATGCTATGATTGCAATAGTACGTATATATATATATATGGGTCATCTCCAATAATTGTATCCAAAATAAGTTCCTCGACTTATGCTATGATTGCAATAGTACGTATATATATATATATGGGTCATCTCCAATAATTGTATCCAAAATAAGTTCCTCGACTTATGCTATGATTGCAATAGTACGTATATATATATATATGGGTCATCTCCAATAATTGTATCCAAAATAAGTTCCTCGACTTATGCTATGATTGCAATAGTACGTATATATATATATATGGGTCATCTCCAATAATTGTATCCAAAATAAGTTCCTCGACTTATGCTATGATTGCAATAGTACGTATATATATATATATGGGTCATCTCCAATAATTGTATCCAAAATAAGTTCCTCGACTTATGCTATGATTGCAATAGTACGTATATATATATATATGGGTCATCTCCAATAATTGTATCCAAAATAAGTTCCTCGACTTATGCTATGATTGCAATAGTACGTATATATATATATATGGGTCATCTCCAATAATTGTATCCAAAATAAGTTCCTCGACTTATGCTATGATTGCAATAGTACGTATATATATATATATGGGTCATCTCCAATAATTGTATCCAAAATAAGTTCCTCGACTTATGCTATGATTGCAATAGTACGTATATATATATATATGGGTCATCTCCAATAATTGTATCCAAAATAAGTTCCTCGACTTATGCTATGATTGCAATAGTACGTATATATATATATATGGGTCATCTCCAATAATTGTATCCAAAATAAGTTCCTCGACTTATGCTATGATTGCAATAGTACGTATATATATATATATGGGTCATCTCCAATAATTGTATCCAAAATAAGTTCCTCGACTTATGCTATGATTGCAATAGTACGTATATATATATATATGGGTCATCTCCAATAATTGTATCCAAAATAAGTTCCTCGACTTATGCTATGATTGCAATAGTACGTATATATATATATATGGGTCATCTCCAAT